TTGATTTTTATATATTTTACCTACACAGATTGATAACTGATAATGAAATTAGATTTAAAGAGACAAGAGCACTTCTCAATCAATTCAATTCACGCTCCACGGTAACCGGCCGGAGTTTTTATTTGTATATTATACTACAAGTGGTTAAGTAAAAAGCCATAAACCGCGCGCAAATCATGTGGGTAATTATAATCATGGGTTTTCGTGGACCCTCTTTGTCAATTGTGATCATCATTTAATTTGTTTCATTTAGATTAGAACCCGTCGGCAATCAGTTAGCGATAATTGATATAAAAAAAAAAAAAAATAGAGACTACAAAAAGACTCCAGTTCCCGATTCATGTAATTGTGACTTGTGAGGAGACATTATGGAGTGTGGGTTCCCCGAGATTTATATATATTTAATACGACTTTAGCATGGAATTAATCAAGGTGTACAATATTTATATGTATATACCTTCCTTAACATAATCGGCCGGGAAGAATATACCTCATTTCTTTTAAAACATAAGGAATTTAATTAATTCCACAATTTTCTACTAGCGGAAGATTGCATCTGAATCTTCCAGGGGTAGTTTTATTTTAAATTTTAAATGGAAAGAAGAAAATGTTTCACCATACACGAAGCATGATGCATAATCGTCTCTACAAATAAACACAAAACAGAATAGAGTAGTGGTAGAATAGGAAGGTTGGTAGTGTTTAAGGACAAATTGGTCATTAGGATGGACCATTACAATTATGAGGCCATTTTAACAAGGGCATATGCCTTTCTCATATATATATATATATTTATATATATATTTCATGAATCAATTTTTGGTGATCTATCAATTTTTTATGCTAATACCTCGTCATTTGGTTTGCTTCCAAGTGGCCGATGATTCTGAGGTCGAAGTGAACTTTTGCTGGACGAGGACCTGGATGTCGAGCTGACTAGGCCGAGCTGAGGGCAGATTAGGTGCCAAGTTAACTGGGCCAAGCTGGGTAGGTTAGGTGTCGAACTGACTGGGCCGAGCTAGGCAGGTTAGGTGACGAGCTGACTAGGGTGCCGAGCTGCCTATTAGTTACCGAGCTGACCAGAGGGCCGAGCTGCCTGGTGGCGAGCTAGATTGATTGTTGAGTTTCGTAGTTCTTTAAAGACCTGCAAGGAATCAATGTCAAAGGACCCGGGGTGGCTAACTCGACGAGGTCGCTCCGATGCTTAAGTCAGTACTCTCATAGTAGACTGCGAGTTAAAAATCACAAAGTATGAGAGCTAGAATATGCTTACTTGCTCCCCTATGCCATTGGGGTTGGTGCCTTTATATAGGCATTGTTTGGCGTGGGCTTTACGCAACACATCCAAGATTTCCGAGAAGTCGTCTAAGTGGTCTGAGATTCCCTGAGGCAACCGCCATGCATGTTGACTACCATCCGAATCGTTTGGCACGTGGGCCAACTTCCAAGGATCGTGGGAGTGTTAGGATATATATATATATATATATATATTCATTATGAAATTATGGGCCTCAAATCAATTTCTTACTAGTTGAAGTCATGCCATGTCTTTATTAAGAAAACAAAACATTTCTGATCAGATTATAAAAAATAATTACTTGAACTTAAGACCCTACTTTTACCTCATACCAAAAAATTTCCTGGATGATCAAAAAGCACTCTCTGGATATAAAAATTTCAGTATATTAATTACTATGTTGAGACGTAAGAGTGCCCCATTAGATGAACTATATATGAACTAAAGTCTTGTATTAACAAGTTGACACAGAGAGTAATAGAGCTACTAGGGGCGCAACTGCTAACCCGCCCCATATTGATATTGTGTAAGAGTTAGTGGCGTGGGTTTTGCTTATAATTAATTTTAATCTGATCATCAATGAATGAGGGAGCTCCATTGAAATAAGCACTGAGCTTGAAGCCTTGAACCAGTCCATGAATCTCTCTCGATCTCTCATAGCTTTGGATGAAGAAACCCGATCTAGTAGGAACTAGGAACGCCAAGCCCCACATGCAGTCGGTTAAATTCAAATATAGAGGCCGATCGCTCGAGGCATCGCTAGCAATATATTCCTCATGGTCATGGAAGGGACAAGACTGAAGAGAGCAGCACAACGTGAAAAAGAAAAGGAAAGGAGATGACGGCCAGCTCTCAGCTTCTAACAACTCAAAACATCGATGTTACTCATACATGAATGGTGAGAACATGGAATCTGCAAATCCAATCACGGGTGAAGGTCACATGCAGCACCAAATGAAGGGTCCGTTGTGCGTGGAAGACAACGGACCTCACCAGTCACCTCCCATTACGTGGCACAGAATTATATGGTCCACATGTTCAATTACGACTCTCTCTCTCTCTCTCTCTCACGTCAAAACCAAACACCATAACGCTTCTTTACTTCAACATCAACATCATCATCATCATCATCTCCCCCCACTTTTCTCCTATGGTGCTACTGATCGATCATGCTTACCTTTCGGAATATGGACGGTCCAATAGATGAAAATGCATCGCATCTACTCCCTCTCTTCTCTCTCAGTCACACCCAGATAAGATTTTCATTTAGCTATACTCTCCACTCTATTACGTGATACCATTGTTTTCATGTGGGCTTTTCATTTAACCAGGCCAGCTGGCAGCTGGAGATACATATATATTCAAAAATATTGGCAATTTAAAGGATTTTCCTTTATTGTATCGTATGTGTGTGGAGACTGGAGAGGTGGAAAGACAATTCAATAGAGGTGGAATTGGGAACTTGGTGGTACAATTCAATCGATCAAAGAGGTGAAGTCAGATGTTTTGTGGTTGCCATGTCATATATGTTTTGTCTGAAATGTCAGGTCACGGGTTACCAATATATCCTTGGCTTGGCTGCTGGTGGCGATGGGTTGATTTTGTGGGGTCTTGTTGTCTTCAAGATTTATCGCACATAACCATCAATGAAATCTGCAGTGTCAGTTACGTTTCTCAAAATTCTCATTCTCTACATTATAGGGGTGTTTGGAACGTGGGCGTTTATTCAATAAACGCTGTTACATAGATGCTATTTCAACAACTTTTTTCTTATTGCCTTATATATAGAGACTGGGGAAGCCAATCATTGATTTATATTAACTATTGTATTATTTTATCCAAGTAGTTACGATTTACATCCACAATCCCTCTCAACCCCAAACAACAATACCCCAATTTTTGGGAGTGATACTGGCACATTCTATTAATTTTCAATAAAGACATACGACAACCTATTCCTAATACATGGTATATACTAAAAAACAAAAAACATCCTATATTTTCAATTAACAATAATTGTGTGTGTGCATTATTTTCTTTTTTTGATTTTGTCCTTTCATGACAGATACGTACGATTTATCAAAACTCAAAAGTGGGATGTGCCCCTATTAACTCCTCCATATTTATTCTTTTTCCAAAATCTCTTTTACAGTGATGAGTTTTATTTTTTAAATAGTAGCGGGCTTCAAAGATCCTATTCCACTTCTAAGTTGAAGTTGTGACCCTACCCTAGATAAAGGCAGGGAGGGAGCCCCAGTCACGCTTTCCTAACGACCTAAGTTAGACTTTTCATATTTATATATTTATACTTGTCTGTAACGACTAACGGGTCGGGTGTGCATCAAAATTCACGGGGTGTTCTGATTGGACAAAGTTTCATGCCATTGCGGCCTCAAAGATATTGGCTTTTGGTTTTTAGCGATTGTCGGTAACGGAATGCATTAGTAGACCCCAAACGACTCTTGGAGTGGAGTGGTGATATCGGATAAAAACCAAGAAAACGTAGCCGCCGTCCGCTGATACAGAAGGGCAGCAGTAACGGTAAACTGGCAACCGTTAATTGGATAAGACTAGAGGATAACGGAAAGTGGGGATTGGTGGCAGGCATTACGTGTTCATATACAATAGGGGAAGGGGCAAAAGAAGACGATGAGACCAGATAAGAAGAAGAAAGGAACCACGATGTGGGAGTGGGAAATATCGGTGCCTGTAATCAACGCGTCTGATTGTGGGCATTGTGGGCCACGCGTCCATTAAGAACATGGGGGTTTGCGATGCTTCCGAACAAATGGTGCATCTTACGCCACGTTGAGAGTCCCCGGCGGCGGATGAAGAGCAAGTGGAAGCGTAGGACTAATATCCAGCATATATATGGAGGGCATGCGGTGTAATTATGGTGACGAGTCCGTTAGTGAGTGGTGGCATGGTACATATTTACGCTATACGTGACATGTGTTATTAGAGATAAGGGTGATGGCATGCATGGATGTAGATTAGATGAGGTAGTGGATGGTGTAATCATTATAAAAGTGGGGTCATGATGATTCATGACTCAGAACCATGATGCCAAATTGCCAAGGCCCCGGCCCCTCCCATCCCCCATACCCCTAGAAGTAGAGAAGCCTACAATTAAATATAGGGGATGATTAAATAGAATTAAAATTTAAAACCGCAAGACTGAGCGCAGCCACAGCCGCCATTTTCAAAAGTAAATGCGAAGCTATCTATTGGTATTAGTTACATACACAACACCAAATCCTCTCTCCTCCCTTTCCCTATCGAAGCAGAACAAAGAAAATAAGCATAATTGACAAAAATGTATATTTATTTATTTATTAGGTTTTTTGGTTTAGTAGAAGAGAGACCTATTGGAGAGAGAAATAGGTAGAGTAGAAACTGGAAAGATATATATGTCTTACGATTTTATTTTATTCGATTTCCATGCTAAATAATTGAATGATAGCCATTTAAAGCCCCATACAAATTCAATACAATGATAATCTACTCACTGCTCTCTCTAGAGAGAGAGAGGAAAAAGCGGCTGTCCTCCTATTAGAGACTTGAGAGCCCATCAGCTTTACCACTTTTCCTGACGGTTCGCAGTATAGTGTAATCCTCTGTCTGTTTACCCCAAAAATTAAAAAACAGCTTTATAAGCTTCTTATTAAATTCGGTCACGTCCATTTATTTTTCTCCTTTTGCTTGCTGGACACGTGATTCAGGCGATATTGCGGCCTTGAAAAAACTGCGATTTAACAACTGATGATTGCAGCCTCCTCTCTCTCTCTCTCTCTCTCTCTCTCTCTCGTTGCTCTATAAAGCCTCGCTGAATCGTATTACCTGTTTCTCATCCCACTCATTCTTGATACTCTGAAGATATTTTTTCTCTTCACTCTGCTCTTTATGTTCTCTTCTGCATTTCTATATATCTGACCGTGTTCTTCCATTTAGAAGTGTTCAAGTGTCGTTGGTTAGGATTAGGATTAGGCATTTAGGTGATATAGGGAGAGAGGGAGCGAGAGAAATGGGACAAGAGGTAATAGTGGTGAGAGAGTTCGATGCGGAGAAGGATTGTTTGGGTGTGGAAGAGATGGAACGACGCTGTGAGGTCGGTCCTAGCGACAAGTTTTCTCTCTTTACCGATTTGTATGGTGACCCCATTTGTAGGGTCCGCCATTCTCCTGCTTTCCTCATGTTGGTACGTTCCCGTCTTCCTACCACTACTACCCATTGCTTTCCTCCATTATCCCTTCTCTTCTTTCACTGTAACTGTTCATTCTCTTTCCCCCTTGTTCTTTTTCTAATTGTCTTGTTTTCTTACTGTTACTAGTTTCTTTGTGTTATTTTGCTTACGTGGGGTGTTAACAAATGTTGAATGGGACTTATCTAATCAGGTAGCTGAGACTAGTGAGGAGAAAGAGATCGTTGGGGTTATCAGAGGCTGCATCAAGACTGTTACATGCGGTAAGAAGCTCTCTAGAAATGGAAAAAATGGCGGCAACGACAATACTCTTAAACCCCTCCCCGTCTATACCAAGCTCGCCTACATCTTAGGCCTCCGCGTCTCTCCTTCTCACAGGTGCTATTCTTTTTGTTGTATCAGTATACTCTACCATTATTTTATTCTTTCTTCCCTTTTATTTTGCTTTTCATGGAGACCCATTCAGGATAAAGCATACTGATTCTTCAGTAAATTGGCCTGTAATTGTTGGGACAAAAATGCTTAAAAATGATTGGAAAAAATGTTTTAAAGTAGAAAGAATTTCTCATTTTTTTTCTCTCCTGTTTTTTTTTAACTGTTACAGGCGTATGGGTATTGGGTTGAAGCTGGTTTCTCGAATGGAGCACTGGTTTAGAGAAAATGGCGCCGAGTACGCATACATGGCGACGGAAAAAGACAACGAAGCATCAGTTAAGCTCTTTACTGACCGATGCGGCTACGCCAAGTTTCGTGCTCCTTCTATTCTGGTCCACCCCGTCTTTGCCCACCGACTCAGAATCCCCAGGCGGATCCACGTCTTTCGGCTCGATCCATCCGAAGCTGAAACGCTTTACCGCCGCCGGTTCTCCACCACCGAGTTCTTCCCCCGCGACATCGACTCAATCCTCAACAACAAACTCAACCTCGGAACCTTTGTCGCTACTTACGACCAAGAGTCGTGGCCGGGGGCTGAGCGTTTCCTCGCCGACCCGCCGGAGTCATGGGCGGTGTTAAGCGTCTGGAATAGTAAAGACGTTTTCGCATTGGAAGTTCGAGGCGTATCGCGAGTCAAACGCGGATTGGCCAAGACGAGTCGGATTGTGGACAAGGCATTTCCGTGGCTTTGTATACCTTCGGTCCCAGAGGTGTTCCGGCCCTTCGGGGGTCACTTCTTGTACGGGTTGGGCGGAGATGGGCCCCACGCGGCGAAGCTCATGAAGTCTTTATGTAGCTTCGCACATAACTTGGCCAAGGATCGTGGGTGCCGCGTGGTGGTGACCGAGGTATCGAGCCGCGAACCGCTCAAGTTAGCGATCCCCCATTGGAAGTGGTTTGGGTGCGCCGAGGACCTTTGGTGTATGAAGCGACTCGGGGAGGACTACAGTGATGGCTCCGTCGGCGACTGGACTAAATCTCCACCTGGTCTCTCCATCTTTGTTGACCCCAGAGAAGTTTAGTGTTATTATCGCCACCCCCCCGACTCCGATGGAACACCCATCCCCCCCTCAACTCAAAACTGAAGAGTCAAGAGGAAATTCAAAAATGGAGTGGAGTAAAAAAACACGAGATATAATCATATAAATATATGTTTCTGTTTTTTTTTGGTTATCTTATGTTCAGATCAGGAGATATGTATCTAGATAAATGGGAATATCCCCCTGTTTTGTAAATGGATTCGACTTTTTGAGTTGTATTTCTTGGGTAGCATTTTCTCCATTGCTTTTTTGTTGTGTTGTTTACTTGGTAATCTTTTGGACTTTATTATTTCTGTTTTCGCTAACTAATTGGTAACGCTTGGGCATTGTTTTCTGTGGAAATATGTGAATGAGCTGAAAATATTTATCTGACCGAAGGTTGTGGCCTACAGGACAACTTTTTGGTCTCCCTTTTCTTCTTGCTTTGCCTTTGTGTGTTTGATGTTGAAAATTTCCTTCATTTGGTTTATTTTCTTGTATCTACTGGATTTTGTTTGTAGTTGGGACCTTTTTTGTTGCTTTTAGACAAGTGATGACGCTGGTCCTTTTAATGGGATTTGGGATGTATTATTGGCTTTTTCACTTTGTGGAGGTGGGCATGGGAATTGGGACAGATGTTTCTCAGCAGGACCTGGAGTTGGTTTGTTTTCAGTGAACCCAGTGGTGAAGAGTGAAGACTGAATACTGGAGTCTGGAGAGGATACATGGTAACATAGATGATGGCCCCTTTACCCTTTAGGCTTTAGTAATTCAAAGGTCATAATAGGGGCCAAGTGCAACTATCCCAGAAATTCCGGACCCACCTACTTCAGGGTCAGGGCCCAGCGAAGCGAGCACTGGATGTGGATGGGCCCGATCTTTTGCCGGGTTTGGAAGTTGGAAATTGTGCAGTTGGAGTCACGAAACAGAAGGGACCCACATTAGAAATAAATCCCCTAATGCCATGTGGCATGCTTTAAGATAACAAGATATTGGTGGGTTCAACGGATCATTGCACTGTATACTACCCATGCCCCCAAAGCCCATCATCTATCATTCCATCATTCCATCCCATCTAGGGGGTGTACCACTACCACTACCAGTAATGAGGTGTTGTGTACCTTCTCTGTAGTACAATGTACCCGCAGAAAGCACACAAGAAATAGTGATGGTTACTGGTAGTTTGGTTAGTAGCATATTTGACCCACAGATGCTCGTGCATTCCAGCGTGGGTTTATTTTTGGCTTCTTCAACTTCAAGTTTACCACATGTTTCTCTCCCATCAATCTTCTTTTTCTTTCTGTGCTTTTTTAGCCTTTTCTGATCAGTAAGAAATAAAAGAAATAGATTGTACAAGTGTAGGACCCTTCACCTTCACTTCCCTCTAACTTTCACCCGAATTTCCGCTAATTTACCAAATCATCTTCCTCTTCCCTTTTCTTTCCTTGCCTCCTGTTTCTCTTTCTCGGTTTTTTTGTCGTATCATTTATCGATGAATGATACGCGGGAGTGAGTATAAACGAGGCCATCAACAAAAGAACAAATAGAAACCACAAACCAAACCACACAGATTTGATTAAAACAGTACTTCTTGAGTTTTATTAACAAAGTAAGTTAAGACCATCCCCTAATTGGGTAATTGGATTGTGTTTGCTGGATGAAATTGATGGTCTTTCTCTCTCTCTGATTTAAGATTAATGGCATTGGATCATGATCTCACAGCTCAAGACTAGGGTTCTTATCAATTCATGGGAGGCACCTCTTATGTGCCAAAAGGGAAGACCATGGTGTGAGGCACCTGTGTCAATGATGATAGGCAACTATTGAAATGGAGCACACCCGTGCACTATGGGCAATAGGGTAGCTCAATTAGCTTAGACATGGGACTGGCATGGTAAAGGGTCATACTTGGGTTAGACCCACGTGCCAAGCCTCCCTTCAATGTGTGTGGCACAATGCCGGTCCATGCACTCTCCCCATGAGCGTGTATGTGCGTGCCCATGAGGAACCCTGGTAGCCATACTAGTCATTAACCAAGACCGCCCCACAAGGGAGTGCTGGTTTAGGAATGTTAAGGTTAGACACTCAAGGAGATCGACCACCCCTCCTCAAAGAGTACATTAAACTTTTGGTGGTCTACCAATAATAAATATCATTTTTTTTTTTAAATTCATATCAACATATTTACACTATTGCCACTGAACGTAAGCCCGCCAAACGTATATAAGTTAAGCAACCACGACAACAAGGATTATTCTAAGCTGCTTTTTTCTCCGGTGTGTCGTTTAAAAGGTAGGGGAGTGAGGAGTGACCAAGTCCGTACCCAACTGTCAACTTATCTAACTTTGATCCATGCAGGCAGTGATTGGATTGTCTTGTGAACTTTGCAAAATGGAATGTTCACATGTTAGACGTCGACTGGACTCCACTGGAAACCACCTTCAACTTCAACTTCAACTCTTGAATCCTAATCCACTACTTCCACTGGCCAAACGCTGCTCTATCCCTCCCTAACTTTTTTTTTTTTTTAATCGTGAATCACAGACTTTCAATTCCTAACCTACGTTTTCTATATTTAAATTAAATGAAGCGTAGAACTTGGGATTAGGCATGTTTTGACTGAAGTAGGTAAAAATTCCTACTTTGATTATTAATACAAAGTCTAACAACACTGTAATTAGGTAAAAAGTCTGAACTTGAAGTCCCATCTCCCCAGGACAAATAACAAATTAGTTTATACAGTAGCTGATAGTCCTTGTCTCTTTCAAGGAAAAGATGGGAATTTGCAATTTCCTCGTTTCGTTCTTTCTTCTGTTTTCTATCGACTTTGACTATGTGATGGGTGGGGTGGTTTAGGTATTAGTAGGAAGGTGGGAAGAAATTAGCGTCATTATAGTCAAATTTGGTTGGCCCTTACATTCTTATTTGCGGTTGCATTTTCTCTTAATCCAATGTCTCTAAAAAATGAATATGGACTTGTTGGCCAATGAGAATTAAAATCTTATTGATCAACTTTCTTCCCTTTTAAAATCTAAAAAAAGAAGAGTGGGCCAAAATGTAAGTTTTTTTGTTGGAAAGTGCTTGATTTGAGTTGAGAATCTCTGAGAATTTTGACATAGTTTAGTGTCAGAAGAGGCTAAAGGTTGCCTTGAGGTCAAAGTTTGAAATTGGTATGCTGATTGCCGACTGCTTTTCCTTTCTTCTCTCCCTGCTCGTACAACAAGTCCATTACTAGGTCTTCGTGGGTCAAGCCTAACCAACAAGCCTCAGGACAGAAGCCCAACAATTTCTACCCAGAGGCCGAAGCTATTATTCTTGTTACTACTTTTATTATTGTATATGAAAGCCCATGAGCTGTAAGGTGGGTTATTGCTTATTCTCGAAATGAAATTAGATGACATGCCTAGTATTGAGGAGAGCTGTAAGCTGTAAGGTGTTCTTGTTAGTACTATATTACTAATGCACAGTTGCAAATGGATGTGAGGAAAGTGTGAACACCATCTTGTGAGGTTCATCAATTAGGCTTTTTGATTTAGGATGGGGATTCCCCCAAGTATCAGCTCAAAGGACTAAATCTGCTGGGATAAATAATTAGAGGGATTCATCGATTAGACTGAGCCAAGATTGAAAAATATCTGAATATAAAGAAATATGTAGATGCCAACCAGCTCTTCACAAATCTCGGATATATCCACGTGGAGACACGCTCTCTTCTTATTATAGCAAATTAATGTTCTGAGTTATCATATTTGGCCTCGAAAAAGAAAGGGTACAAGTAGCAATTTATGCTTATAGGATAGCCCTTGCAGACACAGACACAGAAACTGGTTTGGTCAGCATATGGGCCTTGGGTGGGATTTTGTTCGGCACTGGGGACTGGGCCCTGGGGCTACAACTAGACAGGCTAGCTATTTTGGTGATGCTGGGGTGAGGACCAAGTTTTTGTGTGTAGGACAGAAGAAGATTTTCTAGTCTAAAGTCGAAAAGCTGTGAGTGGATCCCCGTTATACAAGTTAGAGAAAGAGAAACACAAATCGACGGGTGGGTCCTTCAAATTTCTTAAATAACCCGAGTTCAATGGATTCAGAATAAAAAAGCAAGAAAAAGAGACGGGGGCAAACAAAGGTCTGAGACAATTGAGAGTGGGGGTGAGTGAGAAAGAAGTGTATCTGTTCTTTTAACTGTTTGCTGTATGTCTGAGATGTCTTGCGAGCTTGTCTTAACTTGCAACTTGTCTGAAAGTTGTGAGTTGAAAGATCTTTTGATTCGTCTTTTTCTGTACTTCCTTTTTTTTTTTTTTGTTTGAAAAGGACAAGGAAAAGATTGAAACAATGTGACTGGAAATGCAAGGAGATAGAAAAGTAATCCATGTTTGTTTTTTGTTTTTAAATAATGCTGAAATGAATCAGGGATGACAAAGCCCACAGAAGGTCTTAGAAACCGCATTTTAATATGTAATGGACCCTTACATCCTGCTCTTCCTTTTACTTCTATATCTGCCCACTATTATTATTATTATTATTTTTACGCCTAAAGACAATTCTATTCATAAATGCTAAAATGTAACAGCAGCAAAGGGAAACCAACAATTGTAAAACCAATCTAAACAAGATACGACTAGAACAGGTAATCAACAGCACCGGGAAAAAAAAAAAACTAGAGAAATCTCTGCAAAATATATTTTACTGGTTAGATGCAAATATCATTAGAGAAAATCTATGGTATCGGAAGAGTTGTGATCAATCAATCTCACCCGTGAATTTTGATAAATATTATCTGATTGGTTAACAAGTTTACGATACTGGTTGATTGGACATAAATTTTTTAGATATGATTTTTTTTTCGTATCATTGTCAAACCCATATCATCTATTTTTAATTAGTTGAAAAGTTAAAATTTTATCCTTACACTCCATAACAGTTTCTCAACAGAAAAAGCTGAAAAAGACATTTGGTAAGCCTGTTTTCTGAAAGAATAGTAAAGGGTCATTATTGTTTTGCGTGTTTAGTGGCAACTCTCCTACTAGGATTGAGGAAGATTCTCCATTTTTCGAGTGATTTCTGACGTGACAATAATGCAGCCATACTCTTTAATATTTAATATTCATGCAAATCTATTATATATACAAACACATCACCTGGCGTGTTCTTTTAGGCTGCATTTGATTGACTATGGATCTAAATCAAGAATGATGTAAAAGTTTACAACAATTTGGTTTTATTGACATTTGAAAGAGTATAAATGAAGATCGATGTAAAATTT